TAATTACATTGTACATTTCAATTTTAGACAGTTTAGAATACATCCACGGGTCTATGCTGAATAAAATGTAATAGTATTCTAAATAACTTAATATCTTTATTGAATTCAAACGTTTATAAAAGGACCCTGAAGTTTTGGGGGCCCCAAAGCAGCAGCTTAGTTTGCTTATGCCTTGGGCTGGCTTTGAGTTTTTTCATAAGGAGAGGCAACATGTCACTTTATTCTTAAGAGTGTTTAATAAAATAGGAAATGTGACCTACCTGTCAGTGTCAGCTGGCTGTGTGACACTCATTGGGCTTCCCTTGCCTGCAGATTTCAGCCAGATAACATTTTCTTTAAAGCAGCTGATTGATTTGGTCTGGATCAGCAGCCAGCTTCATTCAGCATGAAGGTTCATCCAATCCAGCTGGTTTCACAGGGAAGTTTGTTGTGTTTTCTCTAAAATCCATTGATGATCAACCTGGGGGCTGTGATGCATTCAGGAGAAATGCAGGAATCTTCTGGGTGTTTCAGAAAGCAGCCGCTGCTTGCATCAGAGGAGACATCTGGAAAACTTTACAGCTCAAACCTTCCACACAACTTTTCCCTCCTCGGATCGCCTTCGAGTTGAACAAAAAAAGGAGAAAACTCTTCATTTTCCGCCAGGAAACGCTTCCATGTTGATCAGAGGGTCTTTTCTTAGGGTCCCGGAGAAAATGACGTCAAAGTTTGGCTTCTAAAGAGTCCAAATGAAGCGTTTATTTCCGCTGTTCTGCGGGGCTTTGCTTCTCCTCCTCCAGCAGATTAATGGACTTTAATCATCGACTAATGTCCAGCTATCCTGCCTGCCGCTTCACTGAAGCATGATTCAAACGGGGAAAACAGAAAGGCTTGGCGCCCCCTCCCCAAAACACTGAAAAACTGAAGAAACCCACCTTCCAACGATGCGTTCAAGGCCTGCTCGTACATTTCTAAACTCTTTAAGGTTTGCGTTTAATTACCAGTACTCTGTGTCTGAACTCTACGGAAGAGGATTAGGGCCACTGGAAAAAAAAAAAAAAAAAAAAGTTAACTGATTTTTTTTAAGTTTATTTCAGTATAGTATGGGTAAAAAGTCAGAATTCTGACTTTTTTCTCAGAATTCTGACTTTTTTCTCAGAATTCTGACTTTTTT